TGCTGGGCTTCCCTGGCAGCCATGCATATTTAGTGTGAAGGAGCCTTGCATGCACACAAATGCACACATGTAGGGACTTCTATTTGGGAACAGGAGGCCTGATTAGCCAGGATTCCTGCTTGAGTGGAGGTTTATGTAAGTGTATGTATGTGCACCGCCTTTACACTGAATATGTGGTGCATAGCCACCATAGTTAGTGGGCCAGATTCCTTTCTCTTGCTTTTGTGTGTTTGATGCCTTCTTTTACTGGTTTTGCAAAAGCCCTACCTTTTTAGCCCTGGAAGCTATTGGGGTTTTGCTAAGCACATGAAACCTGAGCCAGAGAGACGGGTGTAATGACTTAGCAGAGTTTTGCTAGCTATTTGTTTAGTTTAGAAGCTGCTCCTTTTTGCAAACCCAAGGTGATTTTTTTTATGCACACCCCTGCCCAGTATTCCTCCTTTCTGTCATTAGCTCCTTGTGTAAAATTCCTTCATGACTGTTTTCAGGTAATTGATGAAACCCTTGATGTGAAGGAAATGATTTTCAATCCTGAGCGAGTCGGTGGACTGGTGGATGAGCCGGTATGTATATAGCCACCACCCCAGGCTTGCTGTTAGGGGACTTCATGCCCTGACCTGGGTGTTAAGTAGCACTGTGTATACCTCTTCCAGTTCTGAATATGCCATGAGCGTTGCAAAGAGCAGTAGGCCCAGAGTTTCCCGGAAGAAACGTTTTGTTATTGGCCACATAGGAGACACGTAAGCAGAAGAGTGTGTGTCACATATCTGAGAAGGTGTTTTGCAAGGTGCCCCCGCCAGCCAGATCACAGTGAGAGGGATCAGGGCGAGACCATGACCAGGCACATCTCATGCTTGCTGTGGCAGTTGGTCAAAGGAAGGTGCCTCCCAAGCTAGTTTAGTCATGTTCATTTCCAGCTCTCAGCCCCTCCGCATCACTTTCTTCCTGTCCAGGAAAACGACAACGCGCTCCGTGACGACTTCAGCTTCAGCAGCAGCGCTCTCATTGGTCTCCTGGTGATTGCTGTTGCCATAGCCACAGTCATCGTCATCAGCTTGGTGATGCTGAGGAAGAGGCAGTATGGAACCATCAGCCATGGGATCGTAGAGGTGAGAGGGGCCTCGAGATTCATCGCCTCTGAGAGAGGGGGGATTGGATCAGCCTGCTGGGTGGGGGAATGGGGTGGCAGCAGTTGCTCTCTGCTGATTTGAGCGTTTGGCAGTCAGTGGCCTTATGTGGTTCAAAGCGGTTCACTGAAGGTATAGCTTTAAAAAGAGAGAGAGAGAACTTCTATTATCCTCTCAGTTCACACATGCACAGAACATACAAACCATCAGGTTCAGAGCAGTGACTGGAAATCACTGTCATTTTAGCTATTGGCTTGATCATGTGCAATAAGGCATGTGGGAAAGAGCATTCAGACGGGAGTTGAGGCTTCTTTTCTTAGGGAGATGATGGAAGTTGAATCTCTTGCAACGAAGACCTCAGTTTTAAGAGATTAATACCCTTAATTTCTATCCAGGGAGCAGGCCCCACAAATGTGCTTAGCCCAAGATGCTTTCATGCCTCCTCTTCGCTCGCTAACTGTTGGTTCTCTTCTTTGAAGGTTGACCCGATGCTCACGCCAGAGGAGCGGCATCTGAATAAGATGCAAAACCATGGATACGAGAATCCAACTTACAAATACTTGGAGCAGATGCAGATTTAAAAGTTGTTGAAACCACCGCAGCCCTGACCAGCAAAGGATCAGGGTAGGAAGGGCCAAAAATGGTCCAGTATTTTGGATCAGCTGTTGACCAACTTTTGCTTGAAGAGGACTTCATATTACATTCAGAACTCCTGGATCATTTAAGACTTAATTACTACTGTAGAGTTGCAAATTCCATTCTTTTAAATGGGTGAGAAAATGATAATATAACAATATATGATATATAAACCTTAAATGGGAAAATGGATCTATTGCAGATATTTGAGATGTAGTTTTTTTTCTTTTTTTAAGAAACTTAATCTAATGAGAGAAAATCCCAGTGCTGTCGTATTGTCTGATAACAAACTCTCTGTATAAATGAGAAATGTTGTTTTATTTCTGATACACCACTTGTATATTCAAGGTCATGTACCAACCGCATTGTATAAACAAGACATTTGTGGCTCTTTGGTCATTCTAGCTTTTATATATACACACATATATATAAAAGCAGTATTCCTTTTTTAAAATAAAGTTTTCACCAAAGTCACCAAAAAATTGAAATATTGGGGTTTAGGGTCTTTGGGAGACAAATAAATAACCAGGGAAGCAAATTCACAATGATGGAAACCTTATATAAATTCTCAGATTCCAGTGACCTGTGCACATCTTCTTCTGCTGCTGTGTGGCTTGGTTTTCAAAAATCCTAGATCTTATAGAGGTAAGGAGAAGAAATGCTTCTGCCTTAGTGAAATATTGGGACCTGGTTTGTGCAGATTGGGATTGCACACTTTGTCCACTTTTCTGAACCTGGTCCTTGTAGAATTGGAAGCCTGCAACGTTCGACTTCAAATCCTTTCCCTGCAGCCTAAGCCAGCCTCCCTTAGCAGCCACTATTGTAAGAGACCCCTTCTTTGTTAATGTACCCCAGGCCCACTCTTTTCATGGTTAATCATGACCGTTACAGATTAGGGAGGCTGCTGTGTCTTCCCAAGGAAGCTGGAGTCGACACTGGGGTGTCTTCCTAATGGGAGACACCTGATACAGTTGCAAATAGTCCAGGCATTTGGGGGAGCCCATGAATTATTGCCACTTGGCTCTCCATTATGGGTGGGGTTAGGGAGGGTAGAGGGGATAATGTCTGAGCGATGGAGAAGGGAAGGGAATTTGTGAAGCGTCACGGACACTGATCCGTTCACCACCATGTCTTTGTAATGCTTGTATAGTTGGTGTTAATGCTCACAGCTTTTTTTAAAATTCTGGAGGTTCTGGTAACCTGTGGTGTATTATTTTATTTTCTATTTTCTGTGACCTTTCTTTTCCCCTCCATCCCTTACCATGTCTCTTCCCACTATGCACAGATTTACTTAACCTGCAAACTCCTTAGTGTGGTCTGTGGGGAATGTAAAAAGTTGGAATCACATCAATAAACACTTTAACTTCCAGATCGGTTCCTGTGTCTATCCATAAAGGCGCCTGGTGGTCTCCCATATTTTCTAGCCGGAGCTCTGGGAAGTTGTAAATGTAACCCATAGCTTTAAATTGGGTTTGCCACAAACCTCAAGGACTCTTGAGAGTCTCTTGCTACTGAGTGAGGAGGCTCTTTGCCTTGGCCTTCACTAGCTTTTCATTAACATTACCTTACAGAGCAATGGCAGTGCCGAAGTTGTTGGGTTTATTGTAATGGCTGTGTTGCCAAGTTTCAGCTGCTCTGTTGTGAATTGATTTGCTCGCAGAAGGCACTGTACTTTGCTAGACCAATCAGAAATACAAAATTTAATGCTTGGTAAGGGATAAAAAAGTGACAAGAGGCCACCAAGACCCATTGAGTCATCCTGGCATTTTTGATCTTGGGTTATTCTTTCCTGTGAGCAGTGGAATGACACAGAGCAGTTGGAAACACCCAAGATTAAGCATCTTTAACTGAAATTCTGGGGGAGTTTGATTAATGCTGTAGATGCCCAAGAGGCAAATTTGAACTGAATGCCAAAGCTGCGTGCGCAACTAAACTGTATTATTATCCAGGGGATTAGGATAGATTAAACATACCTGAAAACAATGTGTTCAAATGTGGATCCAAAGAATGTAACCACAAGCTTACCCAAAACCATAACAAGACTAAAATGTCCCCAAATAAACTTCTCAGTTATCCAAAGAGAAGGATGTTGTACCTCTGGAAGTCCTGTGAAATTAATAGTGAAGCTATTTGTCTGTGGATTTCTATGTGGTTCTGCCAAAGTTGTTATGGAGATTCTATGCTTGCACTTACACACAGAGGCCTGGTTTGCAAGCTGAACTGCGGCTAGGTGTGGCCAAGCAAGTGTGCAAGTGCTTGGAGTAAACATTGTGGACCATATGTCACTTCTCCCTCTGCTACTTTACCACCAGGAATGAAGCCATACTTGGACTAACCATTGTGCTTGAACCTGTGCTTGTGGTTTCTCTCATTCCAGCCCACATTTTCACTTGGGGTGGCAGCAGGACCTGGGAAGGATTGATGCAGCTCCCGTTTTTGCTCCTTGCCCTCGCTTGCTTGTTCAGCGTGCTGAGAAGTGTTGGGAGACCCCCCTATCCCCCCCACCCGAGCTACAGTTCCTAGAATTCCCTGGGGAAAGGGCTTGATTTTTAAACTGTTAACGGAGAAATCTGAAGGCTCCCTTGGACAAAAAACAAGGACACCAGCCAGGAATACCAGAGCAAAACAGCAGCCAGTAGGGTTGGTCTTTATTGAAGACTGTTGCGACAGGACTCCCACCTGCCACAAGGTGAAACAAGATAGAAGGCCCGTACAAAAGAGAACCCAAACTTTTATTAGCTGTTAATCCCCATGTTACACCCCCTAAACTACATCACTAATACATCATCATTACATCATGAGAGGGGAGGTCTGGTGCTGAGCATCCTGGACCCTGCCCCAATGCTCCCCTAGCCCTCCACCAAACATCTATCAAGTGAAACAAAAGAGACATTTACATTTCCCTGTTTCCCAGCCAAGTTAATCACACCCTTTTGTCTTTATCTGGGTTTGTTATTTCTGGAATGGCTACCTGTCTGGCACTCAGGTATCAGGATGCCAAGGATTATCACTCAGGCAGAGGGGCTGCTGAGTAGCTGAGCTCACATGTCTATATGAATTTCTGAAGTTTCCCCAGTGAGCCAGTACATAGATAAATTTATCAGTGAATTGTTACATTTGGTATTGTGAAGCAGAGGCCCTTTGAATAGATAGGAAGAAACTGTGATGAAGTGTTTTGTGGGGACAAATCACAAAAGTCACAAAAGTGATTGTGCTGATTTTGGTAGTGGGCTGCATGTGCATATCTGCTGGAGGGGCAACCGCCCCCCCAAACCTATACATAAATTCCTACAACAAAACCACTCTGAAAATTATAGCTCTGCACCCACCCTTAAACTTCCAGTATCCTTTGGGGGAAGCTACAACAGTTTAAAATGTCATGATACTGCTTTAAATGGATAGTGCCGATGCGGCCTAGAAGATACTTGGTTATGTTGATGTTCCAGGGAGCTGTATATATCACACTGTTATGTTTCCAATACTTGTGTGGAAGGTGAATGAGGTATCAGTGTTCAATAGACACCATATAGATTGCTCCCTTGAAAAGTCTCTGCAGAAAACCACCCTTTATTCGCAACACACATATGTACACATATGCACATGGATGAATTAAACTGCATGCAGAAATTTCAATACAATACCAAATGTACCAGTCAGAACCACGATCTGGCCAACTTGCATTACAGATGTGGCTGTAGCTCTAATGGACTCCAGAGTGGTTTTTATAATGATCATGCCTAAAGGGTTTTGCCACTCATTTAACTGGGCAGCTTGACATCCAACCCATTGCTTACAACCAAATCTAATTACAAATTGCATGTCCCATGCAGTGTAAACACAAAGTCCTCAAAAGGTCATCAGATTTGATGTATTTTTTTTTAAAAAAGCCACAAAGTTCATTAGCAGGACATTTTCCAGTGCACACTTTGGCCCTTGGATATAATTTTTTGGGAAGTTGCTGAGGTGAGTGTGCTTGCAGCTGAAGGCTTTGAACACTTATATAAGAGGATACAGCTTCTCCCCTTTTGCCGTTGACTACTATGTTTGTTTTTAATATAAAGAGCACCCTTTATGTCAGATGGGAACTAGAAACTTCACAGTTTTTTAAAAAAAATATCTTGAAGAATAGGGGGAAATGAGACCCTTCATTTTTCATCTGAGATGTTCTCTGGTAGGAGGACAGGATCCAGGGTTCGGTTTTTCCTCCATAGACAACATGCCAAGTCCAGCTCCACATCCAGTTCCACTTCGACGTTTCCATAGTTTACTCCACGTCCGTTACTGCAGCTGCAGAAATGCAAACCCCCAAATATATTGATATACGCAACGGGGAGAAACAAAACCCATTTCAGCAAGTGCTAAGGAATTGACAGCAGCATAATTGTTGACCTCACGCCCTGTTCCCATGGAGGTTGCAAAGCAATGGTCAAGCCACACAGGCTGGCACACTGTGCAGTCATGACGCCAGCTGTTGAGCATTGCTTGACGTCTGGCTGCTGTTACTCCACGGGGTTCCTTTGTCGGCATTTCTCTGCCTACCCCCTGATCCATTTTTTTATTGTTCTTGGTAGTTATTCCGTTAAGTTTTTACAATAGCTTTTTTAAAAATATTGAACTGTTTTATATTGACGTGAGTTTCTCAGAGAGTGTGAAGAAGGGTGGATAAGAAGGAAGGATTTTTAAAATACAGTAATGGCAGGCGGGGGGCGTATTTTTGAGCCACACACTGTGTCAAAGAATGGATGTTACTCCTTTTCAAACTGCTACAGGAACAATGTGCCACATACGTTGTCAGTGTGGAGCAATGCACTGGCTTGATGTGCATGACGCATCAGTATTGGTATGAGATCAGTTACGTGGGTGATGCTGTGGTCTAAACCACTGAGCCTCTTGGGCTTGCTGATTAGAAGGTCGGCAACTTGAATCCCCGCGACAGGGTGAGCTCCCATTGCTCTGTTCCAGCTCCTGCCAACTTAGCAGTTCGAAAGCACGCCAGTGCAAGTAGATAAATAGGTACCACTGCGGCAAGAAGGTAAACGATGTTTCCATGCGCTCTGGTTTCCGTCATGGTGTCCCATTGCGCCAGAAGCGATTTAGTCATGCTGGCCATGTGAACCGGAAAGCTGTCTGTGGACAAACTCCGGCTCCTTCGGCCTGAAAGCGAGGCGAGTGCCACAACCCCATAGTCACCTTTGACTGGACTTAACCGTCCAGGGGTCCTTTACCTTTTTGACCTTACTATTGGCTATCACAGGCCTGAAGTGGGGAGGGAGTATGTTTAAGGAGTGACAAAAGGAGAGAAGTTACTTGTTTCTCGCCTCTTCCCACAACTTTTTACACTGCTGTTTGAGGCTAGAGGATATGTGCCCTCTAGATGTTGTTGGGGACTCCCAACTCCTGCCAGCCCCTGCCAGCGTGACTAATGGTCAGGGATGATGGGCCACTAATATATTCCAGCAACACCTGGAGGGCCCACAGATTGCTCATCCCTGTCCTAAGTAGAAAAGATTGAACACGGCCAAGACATAAGTAATGTCCATCCTTGGACTACCACTAGCCAACCATGGCTACCTGTTCCCATATGAAGCATTCCACTGGATCATTTTGGGTTCACCCACTGCCTACCTAATGAGTACCACTTACTGTTGACTGATGAAACCATTGGCTGCCATCACAAGAAGGCCAATGGCATAGTGCCAAAAGAAGCACATGGTCAGGAAGTTCTTGTTTCCATGCTCCTCTTGTTTCCAACCTGGACCTCCCCATGGTGGATACAGAACAAAGCCAATCTGAGGGTTGCAAAGAGAGATGTCGTATCATTCAAAGCTACAGGAGTATAATATAGGACTTGCCAGGATAGCACCCACTGGTGTACAGGTGCCCAACAGAGGCCTGGTACCCTCAGAACCCCCTCTTCTTCCCCATCTCTGCTGAAATTCAAATGAAGCGTTTTGTTGCAGCCAGTTAAATTGGGTGTTGTGTGTGGTGCCCAAGAATGTTTCTCCAGTTTGCAAACGAACCCTTAAACTCAGAAAGGTACTTTGGTTCACAGAAGTGGTGCTGTTAGCTAATCTTAGTTTGCATTCACACCAAACCTCTAAAGCTCTGTGATGATACTACTTTTAAACAGTCAAGACTTCCCCTCCATTTTTTTTTAAAGGAGATGTAATTTAAGAGTGTTGGGTGTTGTTAGAAGTCCTTTATTCCTTTCTCAGAGCCACATTTCCCAGAGTGGTTTAACAGTCAATCCCGCTCCACAGCAAACTCTGGGAAATGTAGTATTGGGACAGAAATAGGAGACAACACCCAGCACTCTTAAGACAGCTTCCAGAATGCTTTGGGGAAGAATCCATGACTCTTAATTTAAAGTTCTCCCATAGGGCTTTAAAAGGATGGGGTAAATAGTCTCCTCCCTGCTCTTTTTAGGTGGCAATGTGTACCACTTCACTGACTTCAAAATGTGCTAAGCCTGCCTTGCTGCAACTGGGGCCCCTCCTGGTCATTTTGCTGAGTAGGTCCCTGGACTTCTGCCCTAAGGTCCTGCCCTGATGGTGCCACTGGCTTACAGCCACCTTTTATTATTCCAGTGCATTTCTCACGGCAACACTTTTCTCTTCGCACACACTTGCACTCCAGCACATGTTGGGGGGGGGTATTGATTTAAACATTTCACAGACCTGGACATTAAATCTGAAGCACAGGCAACAGCAACCCCCCCCCCCAGCCACTCTCCCTGCTACTAACCTGCCAGAACCAGGATCCTTGGAGGATGAAGAGGCTGGCCCTGAAGAGCTCCAGGAGGGTGTGATCTCGTTGGAAGACCTCCAGCGAGGCACAGAGGGCGGCTCCAAACACAGCGATGCTCATGAGATGATAGAGATGTTCCGTCAACGCGGCGTCCTTGTAGTCATGGAAATGGAAGAGGAAGCCTGCCAGAATCCAAACCACAGGGGACGATTACTCAAGAGCATTAGCAAAATTGGACCTTCAAGGATTCTTAAATCAATATGCTTTGGGGAGCCTGCCTGCATGTTAAGCAGGTGTTTCCCTCTGCTTTCTATGTGTGGGCAAAGGCCATTTCAAGCTTTGGCCCATTTTGTCCCTGGCTGGCAGTGGAATATATTTTGATCATGCCTCCCAAGCTGCTCATTCCATATATTCTGAGGTCGCTGCACTCTAAACGGAGGTGGCGTTTTTACTCAATGAGCATTGCTCATTGCACTGCAGCTCTTTGGGCTTTGAGATGATCTTGGCTGCAGAATGTGGGCATTTGTGAATCATGGTGTCTCTAGCACCAAACAGCTGTAGTAGGGCGGTCACTTTACTTGTTGATGTGTGCTATGCATAATTCTCAAAGCGATTGGGGGCTTACTGGTTTAGAGAAAAGGCAAGGAAGACGCAACATGATGGAAAATTTGTAAAATTATTCATGGCATGGAGAAAGGTGGCAGAGAAACCTTTTTCTCCCTCCTAACAGTACAACTAAGAGGGAAGCGGGTGGCGCTGTGGGTTAAACCACAGAGCCGAGGACTTGCCGATCAGAAGGTTGGCGGTTCAAATCCCCACGACGGGGTGAGCTCCTGTTGCTCAGTCCCTGCTCCTGCCAACCTAGCAGTTAAAAAGCACGTCAAAGTGCAAGTAGATAAATAGGTACCACTCTGGCAGGAAGGTAAACAGCATTTCCATGTGCTGCTCTGGTTTGCCAGAAGCAGCTTAGTCATGCTGTCCACATGACCCGGAAGCTGTACGCTGGCTCCCTTGGCCAATAAAGCGAGATGAGTGCCGCAACCCCAGAGTCGGCCACGACTGGACCTAATGGTCAGGGGTCCCTTTACCTTTAACTGTACGACTAGGGCATGTCTAGCGAAGTTGAATGCTGGAAGATTCGGGGCAGATAAAAGAAAGCAATCTCTTCACACAGAGCATAGTTAAAGCATGCAACTCATTTCCTTGGTAGGCAGTGATGTCCACCAACTTGGCTTTCAAATAGGATTGCACAAATTAATGGAGGCGAGGACTATCAGTGGCTATTCTTCATGGCGGCTGTGCTTGGTCTCCACGGTCAGAAGCAGTTGCTGGAAATCACAATAAGGGAGAGGGTTCTGGTGCTTCAGAGAAGTGTGAAAGACGAATAATAGCTGTGTTGTGGTTCACATATGGATTCAGGAAGTATGAAAGAAGTATGTTCACATCACATTGCGAGCTGAACAGATTTCGTCCCTTAAAAGCACCCTGCTAACATTTTCATTCGATAGCAGCTGATTAAGGTGGAGTTCATCTGCAACACAGGAGGCTTTTTGTTTCGACAGCCTTTGGAAAAAAGCAGTCACTGAAGGTGGGACCCTATGCAGTGAGGGATCACCAGCTTTGCATGCAGAAGAGACCTTGTCTGGTTCCTGGACCCTTAAATTATAAAAGGATGTAGAGCAGCTGGGCTGATTGCAGGGGAAGTGGGGAGAAATACCCCCTGAAAAGTGTTGGAAAGGTGCTGCTAAGAGCAGACAGTACTGATCTAGATAAACACAACAGTGTGACTCAGTATAAGGCAGCTTTGTGTGTCTGGTTATTGCTAAATTAATACATCAGGGTACATTCAAAATATTTTTTTTTAAAGCTGGGGTAGGAAACTATAATGGAAAATAAACTAGCCTCTTCCATAAACCGTAATTGCCCCCTAGTGGTCATTTTATGTAAATAAACTACTCGCCAATTCTCCAGTTGCCTATTTGCTGCGATTAGGTGATCTGCATGTGTATTCAAGATCACATAATACAGTCTTGCTAAGCCTCAAGTACTTAACGCCCCATGATTCTGCGCTTATAATGGCTAGCGAACATTAGAATTACCGCTCCACACTTGAGCGCATGCTAAAAAGACGGAGGAATAAAGCCTTTCCCCCTATTTCCCTAATTATGTGTACAAAAGACAGTTACTCGTCAATAAATCACAATGGTCATAGCCCACAGGCTTTTGTGCTCTGGTGCTCAGGGTGGGAGTGCCATTTCTTACGTAGTCCAAATGGCATCAACCTCCTGCAGGAGAAGAGGTATCAGCAGGCGTTGGGGAAACTGTGGTTTGCAGAACCACAGCTCATAGCAACCATGAGCCGTGCCTTCAGTTTCGTGGGCCCGACTCCATGGAACTCCCTGCCACAAGAAGTTAGGCAGACACCATCTTTACTGAGTTTCAGATGCCTAGTCAGAACTTTTTATTTCAGAAGAGCACTCTGGCTTCCCAAAACTGGTATTTTAAAGCATTATTGCCTTTGACCACCGAGGCAGAGCACAGCCATCCTGGCTAATAGCCATTCATAGCCTTCCCCTGCCTGAATTTTAAAGCCATCTAGGTTGTTGGCCATCACTGCCTCCTAGCTAGCAGAATGTCTTGTGCTTACCCTGCCCCAAGGCTCCAGAGCTTGGAGAACAATCCCTGAACAGGGTCTTTAGTTGGGGGCAGCTGCCATTTCCCATCACGACCCTTTTGACTTGTCCATCTTAATGCTTCGGACCGTTAGCCTCTGTTCATTGCTCACCTTCTGCAAACAAAGCCAGAGCCAACAGGAGGCGATCCAGCCCCACCGGCAACTTGAGCGATGTATGGACGAGGACATCTGCCACTCCAGAAAAGCCATAGAAGAGGTACATGGTCATGTGCGGCCAGCTCATCAGCTGGACCCAGTCTTGGGCCTTGCTGTCGTAGAGAGAAAGGTGGGGTCCGCCCGGGACCAGCTGCTCAGCCAGTATTCCTGTAAGGCAGGACACAAGTCATTTTGCTTCCTTAGCAGAGTGAAGGACTGGGCAAAATTTGAAGGCAGGTGTACATGATAGGGTGGAAAGGAAGAAAACAGAGCACACAGCAGAAAGAGCAGTAAATGCAAGTATTTAGGAAGCCTCCTGACCTTAAACTCTTACTGGCTTAGCAAGTAATAATGTGCCTCACTGGGGTTCTTTACAAGTTACGACAGGCACCCCCAAACTCAGCCCTCCAGATGTTTTGGGACTACAACTCCCACCATCCCTAGCTAATAGGACCAGTGGTCAGGGATGATGGGAATTGTAGTCCCAAAACATCTGGAGGGCCGAGTTTGGGGATGCCTGAGTTACGCACAGGCTAAGGATGAGCCACATGTTTGCTGATTTTCACACTAAAACTTGCTATTTCAATGGCATGACTTCTTTTTTTTACATACACACAAACTCAGCAACTCTGTTTTCCAACTGTTTAATGTGAGGCAGTTATTCAGCTGAGTGGTCTTTCCAAGGCCACAATGTCTATGCTCTGTCTCCGCCATGGGAGGCAATCTGTCTCTGAATATCCACAGCTGAGAATTGCAGGTGGGGAGGGTGCTGTTGTGCCCACGTCTTGCTTTCAGGATTCCTACAGGCATCTGGTTGGCCGCTGTGACAACAGGATGCTGGACTAGATGGGCCTTTGGCAACTCCAGCTCGGGCTGATTTGAGATTTGTGGCCCTGCCTATAGAAAGCCGACCAAATGCCACATGCTTCTGTTACATCCAGGCTACCGTATGGGGTTGCCCTTGGTTTGGAAACGGCAGTTGGTACAGAATGTGCCTGGCAGGACACTTGTGGCTAGTCTGCAAACATGGGCAGAAGAACCCACTACACTTACTCTGTGCTAGTTATATTGGCTGCCATTTCCAGTTCTGGCCTCTATTAAAAAGTGCTGGTTTTGCCCCCTGATGCCCTAAATGGTGTGGGACCAGGTTGTCCGAAAAGTCACCAGCATTGGTGTCAACATATAAGGCCCTGTGCAGCTCAGGACCAGGTTCCTTGAGAGACCTTATATACCTGCATTCTACAGGAGAGTTTCTCCTTCATTGGAGGCTTTGTTTAGAGGTTGGGTGGCCATCTGTCAGAGACTCTTTAGCTGTGATTCCTGCACTGCAGGGGGTCAGACTAGATGACCCTTGGGATCCCTTCCAACTCTACAAAGTCCCTAAAGTATCAGAAGCTTTGCTAGCCCAGTAACTCAGAGCAGGGCTTTCAGTGTGGCTGCCCCTGCTTTGTAGGACAGCATTCTCATTGAAAGTGCATATTTGCACTCTCCGAAAACAACTGAAGTCATTTTTTGTTGCAACTAGCCTTTCCAGGAAGATGAAAAGGTCTCTGCCCTTAAGGGTTCATTTTGTACTGTTTTCAAACTTATTTCCAGTCGTTTCTATGGAAGAAGAAGAAGAAGAAGAAAAGAAGAAGAAGAAGAAGAAGAGGATGAGGAGTAGTAGTTTGGATTTGATATCCCGCTTTATCACTACCCGAAGGAGTCTCAAAGCGGCTAACATTCGCCTTTCCCTTCCTCCCCCACAACAAACACTCTGTGAGGTGAGTGGGGCTGAGAGACTTCAGAGAAATTTGACTAGCCCAAGGTCACCCAGCAGCTGCAAGTGGAGGAGTGGGTAAGTGAACACGGTTCCCCAGATTATGAGTTTACCGCTCTTAACCACTACACCACACTGGTAGGACTGTAAATTTCCCCCAGACACAGTGGCGGAGCGACATGCTCCGGCACCCGGAGTGGTGAACAGGCGGGGGTGGGGCTGGTGCGTGTTGCTCCCCCCCCGCCCCCACGTTTGTCTGCCAGTGCCGAGACATAGATATAAAAAAGATGATTCATAATGGTACATCATCTCTCTTGCAGAAGGAAGATGACGTTGGAGTATAGTACCTCCTAGAGCAAAGAAAGCTTTCATTGTTCCTTCGATAATATCCATAGAATGGATCCAGTGGCTGTGTGGGTTGCCTGAATCCAGTTTTAGAAGAATGTACTTTATGGGGTATTTGATGGACCACCACAGGCCAAGCATCAGGAAGAAGTTCCCGCGAAGAGCACTGCCAATAAAGCTGGGCATCGTTGCACTTGACCCTTCAAAACAAGAAGAGGAAACCCACAGAGAATGTCAGTGACTGCATGTGCTATGTGGTTGTGAAACCATTCCTCTGCCCAATGAAACAGCACAGTCGGTTGAGCATGAGATTCTTAATCTCAGGGTTGTGGGTTCAATTCCCACGTTGGGCAAAAGATTCCTGCATTGCAGGGGTTTGGACTAGATAACCCTTGTGGTCCCTTCCAACTCTACAGTTCTATGGTTCTATGTCCTTATTTCTGGACAACAGTGAACGCAGAGACCCAGAAGGGGGGGAAGCGAACTGCATCAAGAGTGCTGTGGCTGGCTCACATCTGACTCAGTGACACAATGAGGTCACAATGCTGACCTCAGCTGCATTCATACGACCGTTTATTCCATTTCCCTAACTGTCAATTCCCATATTTGAGCTTCCACACACTGTAAAAGCCACTTCTGTAAATATAGTGGAATATAGCTCAACTTGAGTGCCTTTACCAAAGGTGTCATGGGCTTTGAAGACACTCGAACTCAGGATGCAAGGGAGAAATGTGCTAAGAGGAAGGCATGCTTGGCAAATCCATACTGTGATCAACTCCCGCCCGGAAACCAATGTCCCCACTGTGGAAGGACGTGTGGATCCAGAATTGGCCTCCACAGTCACTTTATGGACTCACTGTTAAAACCATGTTTATGGAAGACAATCTTACTCAGCTACGAGTGATCGCCAAAGAAGAAGATTTGTTTCCAGGGGGAAAAGTCTGTCTGCAAATAACACAGAAATGGGTGCTTTATTTGTGCTATATTCTGCTATATTTATGGAAGTGGCTCTTATATCATGTGACAGTTCAAATATTATGCAGTAATTAACAGGGAAATGTCGGGAGAATGGAAGCTGTCGGTTACCAACACCAGCGCATGAAATTTGGAACTCTGAAGAATGTTACATACTAGATGTCCTCCCTTTGGATTTTCAGGCACTTTTGGGAGACTTTTAAAAATGCCGATAGGCCTATGCTGATTAGCCAGCATTCTAATGATTATTTTGTCCCATTTTAATGGTTTTTCACTTTTCATTCTTTATATGCTGTTGTACACTCCTCTTACATATAATGAGATGATGGAAAAAATACGTTCCTGTTTTTCTTTTTGTATTGTCCTTATAATAAACACACACACTTACTTGCTCACCACCCCAATCTTCAAGTGGTACAAGTCTCCAGGAGTTCCAGGTGCTTCCCCAACACTCATGTTTCCTTTTGGGAATGAGGCACAGGGGAGACTGTGGTGTCTTTAGCATATATGGTTTATTGACACATATGTACAAGCTAAGATTCGCAGTATCAACACCCCAAAAGGGTCTCGTTTCTCCCATAGCCACAGCTTTGGATTCAAGCAGAGATCCACCATTTCTCTACCTCTCTGGCTTTTCCACTTGCTACCTTGCTTCTCGGCCACAGAACTCCTAACTCTCAACCATGCCTTCATTCATTTCTCACTGTCTGCGAGCTGAGAGATTTGCGTCTCCCACAAAGCCCCTTCCTTTGGTCTCCTTTCGCCTCACCAAGAGCTAGCCTGGCTTGATTAGCTTTTAACACCTGCTGAATCCATGTCTGGCACCCAGCTTAAATTCCCACATCTACTGGATCCAGGGATTAGAGAGGTCTTGCACCCACAAACTCAAAACAATATAGATGCAGAGGCAAACGTAAGGCACATTTGGTGTTTTTCCAGAGACCATTTGTCTCTGGAAACCTGCAATTTCGTACCCTGAATTTTATGCTTTGAGCTTTTATTTCATTTTTGTTTGAACTGCAGTTACTATAAGCATAATTGCAACACCATCTTTCACTCTGCTTCTCTCTGCAATTTAAGCCTAACTGTATATATATCTGCCTGCCTGCCAGGTGATAACTACTTCCACAGCAAGGTCTGCATGTTTTCCATCTGCTCAAGGGAGTGGGGAGGCTTTAACCCTTTCTGAAAGAACCTTGTTCCTTCCCTGCATAAATTTGCTTGCCTGCCCTGAAATGTCACCTCCTCTGCTTTCATACACCCAAAACGCTAAGCCAATTTATACACATGAAAGCTCTCTAACACATAGCATCAACAAAATTTGGCAAAGTATGAAGGCTGTGCTGAAGGAAATTTGCCATGGTTTTGAAGAGCATAGGGAGTCGACAACACATTTCCCAACAGGAAGAAAATAACCCTGTTGTGCAAGGAGAATGGCAAACTTCCTTTCCAACGTGGCAATTAATTTGGCAGACCAATACCAGAGCCAGGCTGCATGTAGCTATGCCAGAGCTTTGAAAAACCCATTTGACCGTCTTCAGTCTTTATCACCAGTGAGCTGTAGAGTCAAAAGGCCAGCCAATGATAGTCCTAATCAGAGCAGACCTATTCAAGTTGATGAGCATGAATAATTGCAGCTCGATTGTGGAATGCTCTCCCCGGGGAGGCTTGCCCAAGCACCTTTATTGCATATCTTTAGGTGCCAGGAATACATTCCTTTTCAACTAGGCGTTTGATTGTTAATCTATGACATTTTAAAGTTGGTGGGTCTAACAACAACAACAACAACACAGTGTTTGAGAGAGGGAGGAAAACTTCTCTAGCCACTTTCTCCAAATCACGCATAATTTTATAAACTTTTATCATTCCATGCTGCAACGTTCTATTGCAGGTCCCACTAGTTTCCTCCCAGGAGCTCAAGATGGCATGCAATGGTCTCCCTCCTAGAGAGGGAGAGGGAGATAGGCTGGTCTAGTGGGCTTCACGGCTGAGTAGGGTTTGAACAGGGCTGGATTAAGACACACTGAGGTCCCAAGCTATGCTAAGCTAAAGATCCCCCATAGCAGCACCAAAAAACATTTATTCTAAAGGAAAGAACAACAAAAATAGAAATAATAAAGTAACTATTTCTTCCACATCAGAATAATAATGTCTGATTTAACCTCTGTAACATTATGTTCCAACTGGACTACTGCGGGACGCTCTGCTTGGGGCAACCCTTGACGGTTGTTTTCTGTTTCCTTTATCGAGTTATGCAAAACTTTAAATTTAGTCATTCATTTTGTATTTAGAGGCTCCAAGCTGAAGCTTCCTGAGCTTGTGCATAAAACTGCTGGTCGTTTTGAACCTGGGTCTCCCACAGTAACCCCTTTTTTCAGCTGGAACTTGCCGGAACCCAGTTCCAGCACTTCTTAGGTGGGTGCCATTGCCATTAAAGTGGTACCTTGGGTTACAGACGCTTCAGGTTGCAGACGCTTCAGGTTACAGACACTGCTAACCCAGAAATAGTACCTAGAGTTAAGAACTTTGCTTCAGGATGAGAACAGAAATCACACAGCGGCGGTGTGGTGGCAGCAGGAGGCCCCATTAGCTAAAGTGGTGCCTCAGATTAAGAACAGTTTCAGGTTAAGAACAGACCTCTGGAACGAATTAAGTTCTTAACCCATGGTACCACTGTATAAGAGAACAAGGGAGGTGTTCATGGTGAGTTCCAGCACTTCTTTTTCCAGGAAAAAAACCCCATCACCTCAGTCCTCCCTACGCATTCCCCTACTTTTCTCTACCGGATTCTGTTTCAGAAATACTTGCTCCATAAGGATGTATGTGGATAATCAAAAGCGTCCCTTTCAGGAGGGCACAGTGCGGTACTTACTGGTGTGGCGGGTGCTTCTTTTGCTTAGGCCCCAGCAGATCCTGCCAAATTCAGGCTCTCAAGTGTGAACTGTGGCAAGCAGGTCTGCGTAGGAGTAAATCACAGCAGGCAAGGGGAGGAGCAGGGCAGGGAGGAGGCTGCCCTGCTGAGCTCTCCACCCTATACATCATTTAAACCAGTCGGCACACATTTGTAATTGGATATGCCTTCTGGAAACCAAGTGGTCAACTTCCCAGGAGACTACAGGCACATTCCAGGCACAGTCATCCCAAAATTTTTGTTGTTGTTTAGATGGCTTCCTCTAACATTTTACACACTATGCAACATGTCATAGTCCTGGAAAACAGGCATGGCTCCAATAAGGTTCTCACCTGCCCTTCCTCCTGCAATTTCCATCCCTCTCTGAGCTGCATCAAGCTGCTGTTTTCCTTCTCCCAGATGAGAATATGTCCCTGTGTGTGTTTTTGAGTGATTTTTCAGAATAGTGGAATAACAGGAAGAGCAGCAGCAGCAATAATAATCACGCTGTATTCGCCATCCTCTCCTGGTAGTTACCAATAAGAACAGGGATTCCCTCCCTAGCCACCCCACAGTGGTGGTTGTGATGGGGTCCCTCAATCCCAATTAGCAACCCCCGTTGCTGGAAGTTCCTGCCCCCACTTGGCAAATGGTTGCCTGCATTCGCTTCAGTGCCATCAGATGATGCAGATAATAAACCCAGGAGCCCAATTAATTGCTCTGATTCAAACGACTGCCTGGTATCCCAACCACGGGGAAATCTCTGCTTCCGGTTGTAACATTCTTCTGCTTTTTTGGCAGCGATCCTGCATCGCTAATGGCATTTTCCTCCTGCAGAGAAGGATGCGGTAGAGGTAGTTGTGTGAGCGCGTGTGCATTTAATTAAAGTTTTGTCAAGCAGCAGATTGAGGGATTCTGTTGTTTGTTGGCAATGGCCATTATTAATCTTCATGATAATCCAGAGGGAGGCAGGGGACCTGTGTGTGGGCAGGGCTGGTTCTGAATCATATTATCTCGTCTTGCAAAACATCTTGCTTTGAAGTGGAGGAACCAGTAGGAAGGTAAGAGTTCGGTAGGAAGGTTAGGAGGAGGAGGAAAAACCTGCTAAGTGTCTGGAGCCAGAGTTAAGTCTTTATTCAAAGAAACCCAAACAGCTCAGGCCTAGTGATCACAGCAACTCTTCCCAGTAGGTTTTCTCCCAATAAGGCAGTTGTGAGAATTGAAGGTCTCCACCTTCCCACCAGGACGTGGGTGGCACTGTGGGTTAAACCACAGAGCCTAGGACTTGCCGATCAGAAGGTCGGCGGTTCGAATCCCTGCGATGGGGCGAGCTCCCGTTGCTCAGTCCCTGCTCCTGCCAACCTAGCAGTTTGAAAGCAGATCAAAGTGCAAGTAGATAAATAGGTACCACTCCGGCGGGAAGGTAAACAGCGTTTCCGTGCGCTGCTCTGGTTCGCCAGAAGTGGCTTAGTCCTGCTGGACACATGACCCGGAAGCTGTATGCCGGCTCCCTCGGCCAATAAAGCAAGATGAGCGCCACAACCCCAGAGTCGGCTATGACTGGACCTAATAGTCAGGGGTACCAGACAGATAGGGCTTTTTCTTTCTTTCTTTCTTTCTTTCTTTCTTTCTTTCTTAGTTGGGAACCCTTCTCTGATGAGGCCCCTCCAACTGTAGATTGTGTTGGAGAGAACCACTGCAGTCTTTTTCAGGAGAAAGATTAATGGTGTGGAAGGAGGAGGAACAGACCAGGAGGAAGACACACACAGAGAGATGGACTGGTGTGTTCAGCTAAGATGAAGACCAAGACTGAAGAAGTATCCTGTATTGCGCCACATTCTCTACAGCTGCACTCAACCCATATATTCAAAGCCCATGACTTTCCCCAAGGAATCCCAGGAAACAGGTCATTTCTTGATGGTGCCTGGGAATTGTATCCCTGTGAAAGGGGAAACTAGAGTTCCTAGGACTGCACGGAGGAGATGAAGAAGAAGAAGAAGAAGAGTTTGGATTTGATATCCCGCCTTTCACTCCCTTTACAGGGAGTCCTCAACAGCGGCTAACATTCTCCTTCCCTTCCTCCCACACAAACACTCTGTGAGGTGAGTGGGGGCTGAGAGACTTCAAGGAAGCGTGACTGGCCCAAGGTCACCCAGCAGCTGCCAAGTGGAAGGAGTGGAGACGCGAAACCCGGTTCCCCCAGATTAGGCAGACTAACCGCTCTTACCCACTACACCACACCTACACCACACTGTCATGCGCTTTCAATGTACTGCGTGGTACAGCAATCTATGTCTTTACTGAGGCTCTGCTGCCCTCTTCTGGTTTTGTATTTATTTATTTTTTGCACTCAGAGAACCTTTTGAGTCGTGTTCATCACATTAAAATAGCAATGCTTTTCAAAAGCAGAAACTGGAGCATGGGAGAGGCAGAAGGTCGATGTGACAGATCTCTGGGTTTTATGAAAATAACAACAAAATTGCACACACATACCAAATTAGTACTAGTAACAAGAAGGAAGCTGGTGCAGGTGAATGGCTTAGGTGTCGCCAGGAGCGGATTTTGTGTGTGGAAGGACTATGATGAGCTCAGTTCAGCTCTGGTACACCAACCAAATTTCCCTGGCTCGGAATTATTCAACCCTAAGTGTACATCTTTCACACCAGGCTCTGGTTCATGGATCTCAGGGTTCTAGTGAAAAACAAAGTAGATCATGTGAGCCTGATTTTTTAAAAAAAAAAATCCCAGAGGGTGACTTCAATATCTGCACAGAGCCTGCTCTTGGGCCACCTCGAGACTTCATGGCCTCCATAGGTCTCTCTTGGGCGGTCATCAGGCCAACACACCAGGCACGGCACTCTCTTGATTTGATCTTTGCCCCACTGTAACTAAGTCAAGTTTTACAGCCTGTGCTTTCTGACTGATTTATGGAGAGGCACATGAACCTGACCTTTGAAGAGCTTGTAAGTAAACCAATTTTTAACTTACCAAACATGTGGCCTTTGGGGGAAAGAGGGGAGCTTTGGAAGGAACTTGAAAGAGCAATTTTAAAGGTCTAACGGTCTGTATTTCCATGCTTTACTTTGCTGCATGTTTTGTGATTTTAAATCTCTGCTGGGGTTCTCTCACCAAAGAATAGTTGCCACAAACCTAGATCTTAGCATCCAGGAATTCTCATTTTATACTTTTTCCATGCCACCAACACCTTATGCTATATTATTCTGCTTAAAGATTGTTTCACTGCTTTTTAGTCTGTATTCAAGCCTGATAAAGAGCACTGGAATTCTTTCCACTAGTGTCGCTGTTGCTGCCAACTCCAGAAGAACTCTTGCGTTTGGCAAAACATTTATGTATTTATTGTAAGCCACAGCGATTAATTAGCAGGTGCTAGAATTGCAATGAGTTACAAACTGAAATTCAAAGGCATCTCATTGACGAAATGGTTGATGAGAATCTGGGATCTGCTGCTTGTGTGGAAACTTTGCAAATACTATTGCAATCGCTGAAGTTAGGTTGGGAAACAAAAGCTTTGTTGAGTAATGGACCATTTCTGTTATGTTTTGGAGCAGTACAGGGTCAGATGAGGTTCTGTCTTGTGATTTACTGAGAACACTGTGAAACAGAACACATGAAACAGGGTTGTGATGAGATAGAGAGGGCAGGATATGAACCTAGAAAGTTATTGTGACATATTTGAAAGGGCAGAAAACAATGATATAGTTCTAGTATTTATTTATTTATGTACGAACCCTTCACCGTAAGAGCAACATCATAACCATACAGATACCAAAAACATAAAACGATTCTTTTGATGCCACTCACAATATAAGCAACAGCACCAAACCCTCATGCTCATTTTCCCTAAGAAATTTGCAAATATGCAATTGCTGGTATTGAGATTAACACTAGAGGGGGCTTTGAATTCACAAATGCCTTCAGAAAACCCCCAGAGGAGCTGAAAGGAGCTACTCCAGTCCATTTTTGAATGTGGCAAGGGAAGAGATCAAGGACTTTCTTCTGGAAAGCAACCTTGGGGGGGGGGATGGACGACAAAGTTACCCAATTAGCACTCTTCGAAGCAATAGATGAAGCGAAATCTTCCGAAATTTGCAGTTACCTTTGAATGTTACGATGCAGTTCTCCAACTAATCGATGTGCACAGAAATGCACATATTGCTGTTGGAGTGTATTGGTCCTCTACCCGTGCTCAGCCTGTATATTTGTATATAAAATGCAACAGTCTCCCGTGGCTTCTTTCCAAAGAAAATGAAACCTGGTCAAATGCTGTGCCTTGGGAAAGTCTCAACAGTAGGGAAAGAGGGAAGAATGTAACTCCTGTCTGTTGAACTGGGACAGCTCACTTGATAGAGCATGAGACTCACAATCTCAGGGTTGTGGGTTCGAGCCCCAGATTGGGCAAAAGATTCCCAATGGCCCTCGTGGTCCCCTCCAACTTTACAATTCTATGGTTTTGATTGCCCTTGGTTGTTGTGCTCAAGTCTTGATTTCAGGCTTCCTATATAGGTTATTGTAGTGATGTATGGAAGTGAGAGCTGGACCATCAAGAAGGCTGATCGCCGAAGAATTGATGCTTTTGAATTATGGTGCAGGAGGAGACTCTTGAGAGTCCCATGGACTGCAAGAAGATCAAAACCTCTCCATTCTGAAGGAAATCAGCCCTGAGTGCTCACTGGAAGGACAGATCGTGAAGCTGAGGCTCCAATACTTTGGCCACCTCATAAGAAAGAAGACTCCCTGGAAAAGGCCCTGATGTTGGGAAAGATGGAGGGCACAAGGAGAAGGGGACGACAGAGGACAAGATGGTTGGATAGTGCTCTCGAAGCTACCAGCTTGAGTTTGACCAAACTGAGGGAGGCAGTGGAAGACAGGAGTGCCCAGCGTGCTCTGGTCCATGGGGTCAGGAAGAGTCGGACACGACTAAACGACTAAACAACAACAACAGCAACATGTAGGTTATCTACATGTCATCTATCTATCATCTGTCTGTCTGTCTATTTCTATTATCTATCTATCATCTATCTATCTATCTATCT